GTCCAATCTAGCTATTAGCAGGAATTTATTTTTATGAGGCTATTTTAACTGAATTTTAAGTTGGTTCAAATCGATTCGCGTAAGGTATTAAAGTCTGAGGCGTTTCTACTATTTGGGATTTTTTATGTTCTTTTCTCTAACCAAATACAACGAAAAGGTATAATACACTATTAATTGGTAACGCCTGGTAGATTTATAAAGTAGAAAATATATTTTTAAATGTATTAAAACTTTTACAATTATACTGGGTGTTGGAAATAAAGTGTTACAGTTAAATACCGCTGATAATATGCATTTTATAAAAAAAAAGTTTAAGGCAAAAGCTTTATGGTTTTTTTGGGGGAAACATTTTGTCTAAATTATTTTTTTTATAGCCATAATATGGCCATATCAAGATGGACCACATTTTTTACATATTCTTAAAGTTCATAAAAAAATAAACTTTTAAAGGAAAAAATTCTTTTATTGAAAATTTTGTTGAACGAAAAAAAGTTGGCCATATTATGATTAACTATAATAAACGATTTTAGCCAAAATGTTTTTCCCAAAAAACTATGAAACCTTCGTCTGAAACGTTTTTTTTATAAAAGGCGGTATTTAACTGTAACACTTTAATTTGAACTTTCGGTATAGAGTGAATAATAATTTATATTTAAACTAGTTATAGTTGCTCATCTGTCTGCAAAAGTAGCATGTCAAATTTTTAGTTTACTCTTTTTAGTTGGAATTGTTCATCTGACCTATAAAATACAAAAAAGTTGCTTATCGATGTTTAATTTTTTTTATGGTAATAAAATATATGCTTCTGGAAGTCAATAAATAGAAAAATTCGGTTGGGGTTCGGTTTTTATGGCTACCTCAATTAGCATTGAGATGTTATATCTCAAACATATGAAAATCACATTAACATTTTTCTCCCACCTCACCCCCAAACACATATCGCGTGGTGTTATCCTCAAAAAAATTAAGTTACTATTTTTTCAATAAATAAGTTGAAATTTTCGATTTTTTTTTGACATGCAAACTCGAAATTTCAAATAATAAAAATTTTTCAAAATTATTTTTGAACTTTTGGATTTCAACATGAACTTTCATAGTTCGGATGTGTGGACTGGCAATTAAAAATAATTACAGATGGGATAAAATCTGATTTTTGGAAAATTTACAACGTTTTTTTATAAAAATATTCCCACCACCATCCTCTAGAAGCAGAAAGAGGAGGTGGCATCCCTAAAAAATTTTGTTAGATTTTTTTAATGATTTATTTAAAATTTACGATTTTTTCTGAATATATACCGAAAATTTTAATTTTTTTAACAATTTTTTTAAAAAAATGTTTGACAATTTTTTTTATTCGTTTAGCTAACTGATATCACGCTCAAACAATTGATTTTTTCAATCAATTAGTTAAAATCTACGAGTTTTTCTACATACAAACCCAAAATATAAAATTTTTTTGATAAAATTTTTTCAGAAATATTTTTAACCTGAACTGTTATAGTTGACATAGTTGACATTTAAAAATAGTTACAGATGAGATAAAAATCTAATTCATGGCAAATTTACAACAGACATAATTTGCAACGTTTTTGTATAAAAATCTTACAACCAATATCCCCTAAAAAATTAAGTTAGTATCTTTTAAATAAATCAGTTAAAGTTAACAATTTTTTCTACGTACATGCCCAAAATTATTTTTTTTTACCAAATTTTTTGACAACTTTTGGTTTATGATATTGCGGGGGTGTCATCCTCAATAAATAAATAAATATTTTTTTTTAATAAAACATGAAATTTACCAATTCTTTTACATAATTTTTTTTTGATAATTCTTTTTGATAAATCTTTTTGACAAATCTTTTTGACAAATCTTTTTGACAAATCTTTTTGACAAATCTTTTTGACAAATCTTTTTGACAAATCTTTTTGACAAATCTTTTTGAGAAACCTTTTTGAGAAATCTTTTTGAAAAATCATCTTTTTGACCATTTTTTTTTAAATCTTTTTGAGAAATCTTTTTGACAAATCTTTTCGACGATTTTTTTTTTGAGAAATTTTTTTGACGATTTTTTTGTTTTTTGAGAAATTTTTTTGACAATTATTTTCAACGATTTTTTTTTTCATACATGCCCAAAATTTAATTTTTTTTACCAAATTTTTTAACAAATTTTGTTATTGATATTGCGAGGATGTAACCCTAACAAAATAAAATTACAATAATATTTTCAATAAAACATGAAATCTACGATTTTTGCTACATATATAAATTATTTTTTTTTTGACAAATCTTTTTGACAATTTTTTTTTATTTTATATATTTTTTTAAATTTTTGTTTGTTTTTATCTTTATGTTCTAGCTAATATCTCAGGGGTTTGACCTTCAAAAGATATAGTTTTAATAATTTTTTCAATAAAACATTCGAAATTTACGTTTTTTTTACATACAAACCCAAAATTTCCAATTTTTTTATAAACTTTTTCAAAAATATTTTTAATCTGAACTATCATAGTTGGCATAGGTGGTATTTAAAAACAGTTACAGATGGGATAAAAATTTAATTTATGGCACATTTACAATTACGTTTTTTATCAAAATAGTACCACACCATCCCTTAAAAGCAGGTGGTATCCCTAAAAAAATTAAGTAAGAATTTTTTAAATGATTTAGTTTAAATTTTTCGATACCCAAATTTTTGTTTTTTTTAACAATTTCTTAACAAATTTTTTTTATAATTTCTGATAATTTTTTTTATAATTTCTGATAATTTTTTTGATAATTTTTTTGACAATTTTTTTGACAATTTTTTTGACAATTTTTTTGACAATTTTTTTGACAATTTTTTTGAGATTTTTTTGAGAATTTTTTTGAAAATTTTTTTGACAATATTTTTGACTTATTTTTTATTTTTTTGTTCCTATTACTGATAGCTGATATCACAAAAAATAAAGTTGCAATTATTTTTTCAAAAAAATAGTTGAAATCTACTATTTTTTCTAAATGCAAATACAAAATTACAATTTCTTTTGATAAAATTTTAAATATTTTCAACCTGAAATGTCATATTTAAAAGTTCTAACGTAATTTTTTTAGGAATTGAAGCACCCTTTATATCTCTCTAGGGGATGGTGGTTATAAGAATTTTATATAAAAACGTTGTAAATGTGCCAAAAATTAGATGTATTGCTCTTGCAAACATTTTTAATTTAGTAGTTCTACTTCACTCAGTCTTTTCATGTTTTATTACCATAAATCAAGTAATTTGTTACCCCTATTTTGATATTTTTTCGCGAAAACCCAGAGAGAATAAAAGGCTAAATAGAAAGTGACAATAATCTGAAAGGCTAACAAATATGTGGAGAACAATTTAAGACTTTTGACTATTGGTTCTTATTTTACACCTATAACTTTTTTTACCCTTTTGCCAACACAAAAAGACGCTTCCAATAGCATCTTATATTCTTAAATATTGCGTTTGAACTATATCTCGAATTTTAATAAAAAATGTAAATATTCGGTCACGTGGTTGAAATTCCTACACCGAGAGTAGCAAAATCGGATGACAGAAAATCCTTATTTTTATTGACGAAAAGAAGAATATATTTCATAACCAGCAAAAAAAGCAATAAATCCATCAATATAACTTTTTACTTTGAATTTCACAGGTAACATGACCGTTCCTATCATCAGGACCTAGTACATGTTGTTTACTCTATTTCCCCTGTGCCTAGTTATAAAGATCAAGCAAAAAATATGACGTGTAAGTTTGCTGAAGTCAGTTAAGGGATTATTATGGCATCAATGTTGAACCATAGTGATTTTTTTGGTGCCTGGGATTTTAGAGCTGATTTTAACTATATTTGGGACGCTAAATCTATACATGCAATCCTTTTTTCCCTATCAGCTCTACTTTTATAGATACATCAACTTATCTACCAATGATATGAAAGATATGAAAGTTATGGAGGACACCGCTACCAAGGGACTGTTTAAAAAACATTCAAGAATGTCGCGGAAAAGAAGCTTTCGAAGTGTTGAGTGACTATTTGATTTCTTCAATATTTTTTTTGTTTGTAATTACGACATATTATTGTATTTTGTATAACTAAAATAAAAATTTCGTATCTACTTTTGATTACTACACTTACGGATTTGACTTAATTTAATGTAACTTATATTTCTCTAAAGTTGTATATCTTAAAAATTTGAGCTCCTAGGTAAAAATGAATACGTTATTTGAATTCAGGACATCAAATTGATATAGAATCAGCTCAAAAAACCTCTACACCAAAACAGCTGTTCCCCTGTTTAATGCATAAAACTGACAAGAGCAAATTTTATAAAATAGTGAAACCTTAATGACTTTTGGAATGCATTTTAAAATATTTTGAAATAATATAGTAACCATTCTTCAATTTGATAATTTAAAAATGAATCTTTATTTATTTAGTAATCCTTGGATGTGAAATTGGTAAAAAATCAGTATTTCAAATTCACGAAATACTTTTTAATTGATATTTGTTTCAATTATTTTTATTACCAGAAATTATTATTATAATTTTAAACTTCTGTAAAGAAATTAAAATACTGATTTCTTAATGTTGTACATAAATAAAGTGTCTAGACTTTTTGTGTTACTTATTAGAATTATATTAAGTTTTAAGAATTTAGAATAGATAAAGGTTGTTTTTATATTATTATAAGTTGATTTAAATTGAAACTATAGTAATTGTTCTTAAAAATAATAGTTTTTCATTTAAATTTGAAATCATTGTACAAAGAAAGATTTTATTTTTTTTATATTTTTTAATAATGAAAACAATAAAAAATATTTTAAAACTTAATATTTAGACACTTTACGATAATACACTCCAAAATCCAAAAATTACTTTGTATTTATCACAATATTAGGTTTATAACCAAAGCACTTTAATACAAAGACACTTTTTTTCATTTTTCACTTCACTATTTTATCCACAATAAATAAAAATCATTAACTTACGAAATTATTCATTATTCAGCGTTTCGAAGAGAGATGTCGAACTGTATATTAAAACGAATCAACTGATAGATAGTTTTAGGAAAGTTCACTATATATAGTAAAAGCATTCTCTCACTACTTTCACTGCATCCAAGGGAGATTGTTCATCTTGTGATACAGAATTATATAACAATCAAAAATAGTCTAATGTACCTAATTTTTTGCATTAGAAATTTTGCTAATGTATGTTTTGTTACATTCTAAAAATGCATTTGCAGATCAACAACGTGACTGTATTACCTACTTTCTTTTTAATTTTATTCCCGTTTGTTTTGGCCTCATAAACAACTCATAAGCAACAATGGCAAAACATATTTTTCTTTAATGTATCCGTCCGTCCGTTTGATGTCACGTTTTTTGTCTGCACGATAAGTCAACAACGAAAAATTATATCAACTTTAGAAAAAAATCAAGCTCTAAGGGGACAAAGTATATTGATTTTGAAAAAAACTGAATAAAAATGGGGGGTTAAGGATTTCAATGAAAATTGGGAGTTAAGGAAGCTTAAATAATTAAAAAAAATCATCACTTAAAAACGAACAATAATAACAACTTGGCATTTTTGGCAAAAAGCAAGCTCTAGAAGGGAACAAAGTATTTTTGTTTTAAAAAAATCTAAACAAAATGGGGGTCAAAGGGGTTTTAAATAAAAATAATAAAAATCAAAAGCGATATCAACATGAAATGTCTAGTAAAAATCAAGCTCTATAAGGACAGTAAATAAAAATGGGGTAATAAGGTGGGTTAAATTATTGAAAAATACTAAGAAACAAAAACGATATCAAATTGAAATTTTTAACTACCTGCTATTTAATGACACTTAATAATACCTAACAATAATAACAATAATCTTATCAATACTTATTATACTTATAACTGCAGTTTGTAACAGAAATAAGAGAAAAATTAAGTAAATCAATAAATAGACAAAATAATAATCGAAATTGTTTGTAATAAAATTTGATGGTTTCTTTTATTGCAATAAAGTTGAACCTATTGGTGTACTATTCTGTCACACAGTGTATATTTATTCTTTTTTTTTCAATTTTGATTATTTAGAAACCCTTTAATATAGAATTTTAAGAATAAAAACCTACTAAATTAAAAAAATATATATTTTGAATTTTTTTCATGGAATATTTTAATATTCTGTATTAATGGAGGTTCTAACATGCTAAACATAATTTTTCTTTACCTAGGATTGTGATTTACTTATTATAATGATCAACAAGATTTTTGTACAATTAAATTTGAAGATTTGTTTTACTGATAATATTTTTTAGATTTAACTGTAATAATTTGATAGCATTATTATATCTTTCTTCATCATCAGAATCAAGGATTTCCAAAGAGCCATTTGTTAATTTTTCCAATAACATTTATTATAGTTATTAACGTTATAAGGCTGTTTATGATCCTCGGCTATCGCCTCGGATCACAAACTTCAGCCCGGCCGTTATTTGCTGTTATCGGCCGTGTTTCGTTCAAGATTTTTCGTCATACTGCTACAAAAACAAAACACCTAATTTAAGAACAAATTTTATTAAACGTAACTCTTAAAAGATAGGTACGGAATAAAACAATTTATTCCTTATTGTAATGGATGTGGAAATTGAATTCGCAATTGGTGTTATTTGAAATCTGCAATCCGTCCCAAGGATATTTAGATTTTACAGAGGAAGATGTTTCTGAAGAATGTGAACTATTTGCAGTACTTGAAGATGCAATATTCTCCGGATTATTTGGAAAAAGTTGTTTTGTTATTTTCATTCTTTTAGAAACCGATTTTTCTATGTAAGTTTCCGCCACCGTTGATGATTCCCATCCTCCCAGTTCTTTTAATGACAGTAAGTCACCACCATTTTCTACGAGCATAGTTGCTGATGTTCTACGAAATGAATGTCCTGTATAAAGTTCGGGATTTTCAAGTTTTAAAAAGGTGGCAATTTTCTTAGGAACGCTTCCGATGGTATGTATGCCGACGACTTGCTGCACACATTTGCCATTCCTATAACCAACGAAAAATCTCTTTGAAACTAGGAGGACGCAGATTACTGTATTTCTTGTATAAACCATATGCATCAAATGGAAGTCCTGTTTTTGGGATAAGAAAATTTCTGTCTTTTTTATTCTTAGTATTTTTTAGTGATACGAGGATGTTTTTCTCTGTATCTTCGAAACTGTTAATGGTGAGAGACGTAAGTTCACTTCTCCTGCAAGCTCCTAGAATACCGAGCACTAACACAACCTTTTCCAGTAGCCAGATATGATCATCCGCGTCCAGCAAAAATTTAAGTATATCATTTTCCGATAGAACCTTGGCTTTCTTTGGGGTGTAACCTTCATTTTTGCGCCTCAGGAACAAGAATAGTTTACCGAATCTACAAACAAACATAATTTCGATGAGTATATAGTTAGTTCAATGTTGGCGGATAGTATAGTAATTTACCTTGATATGTCAATGTTTTCATGTATTCTTAACGCAAGTTTCAGCATTGATATTTTTGTCCACAGTGATGTACGAGAATACGTTTCAGACATTCCTTTTGCATAAGCTAGCAGTACTTCTTCATTTACAATATGTATGTTTTTATTCTGACGCCACTTCACGAAGTTGTATTCCTGCTGATATCTTTGTTGGGTTGTACTCGGAAATACATTTTTGGTTGCCGCAGCTGCCTCTTCCAGTACATCGGAGGGAATATCGTTTTCGAAAATTTCTTCCATCTTTGATCTTTTCCGCTCTATAATCACTCAACAAGAAACAGTACTGTCAAACTTACAATGTTTGTATAGTATATTGATGTGGTTGCTAGGCAACTTTAGATTGTTGTGATTGTTGTAGGTGGTGCGCGGCCGTTATTTTATTTAACGGCCGGCGGCCGTTAAATGCACCTTTTCGATATCAATTTCGCTCATATTATGGTAAGATAATAGTACAGTATGACGAAAAAGCTCTTTTATGTCTTACATGAGGAATTAAAATATTTATTTTCTTCTGAAGGGTAATTATGAGATATTCTGTTCTAGTTGACATGTTTCGTGATAAGCTATGATGAGATACTGGATTAGTTGCATTAACATAAACTATACCTACTCTTTTATTGATTCAAAATGATTAACTTGTTTAACTACTTCTTATAAATCTAAATAATGTAAAAATACATGTTTACTATATATAAGTTTAGCATTTCCTAACTGAATAGGTAGCAGAAAAATTTCAATCGCATTTACGAATATACCCACAATAAGTCGTATAGATAAACGCATTCTGTTTACTAATAGGTTTTGTTTGGAAATATTATTTTTTATTTTCTTTTTGTTTAAGGATTTTGTACAAAAGCCGCAACCTATTAACAATATTTATTTATATATAGGATGTCTTAATGTGAGATCAGTAATTCCATCATTGCAGGATAATAAATTAATAATTAAAAATAATTCTTTTGACATTTTTTGTATGTGTGAAACTTGGTTAGATATTGACATATCTGATGATGTTTTACATATAAATAATTTTAATATATTTAGAGCCGATCGAACCACCAGGGGTGGGGGTTTATTGATATACAGTAGTAATATGCTCTTACGAACAACTGTGAATTAAAGTTAAAATTAAAAATGAAATCTATACTTTTGGTGTCGTGTATAATGCACCAGATAACAATGTAAACACCTTTTTTAATGAGATTGAAGATTCAATGAGTATTATTTTTTCAAGTGCAGATGAATTAATATGCGTTGGTGATTTTAACATCAATATGCTAGATTATGACTCTATAAATGCCGAAAAGTTTTCTTCAATTATATCTTCTTTTGGCTTGAACAAAATTATTGATAGTCCTACCAGGAATACTGAAACTAGTGCTACTTTATTGGACTTGACTATTATACAAGAGTACATAACCTTAACAAAATAAGTCAGTGACTCTTCCGGCATATCAGATCATTCACTTATTGCTTGTAAAATAAAAGTAGTTGTTGATAAAGCGGAACCAAAATTTATAGAATATCGTAGTTTTAAGTATTTTAATGAAAATGATTTTCAGAGAGACTTATATAATGTTCCTTTTTATAGAATTTTTGACCGGTATAATATTAATGAGAAGGTAATATTTCTTGTAAATAATTTGTTTTTGACAGACAAGCTCCAATAGTACAATCCAGAGTTACTAAACCTAAAGCGCCATGGTTAACAGATACAATAAAAGATATGATTAAAACAAGAGCTAAAGCTTTTCAAAAATATAGAAGAACTAATCTTCAGGTTGATTTGCGTTTTTATAAAGATATGAGAAATAATATAAATGCAGAATTAAGCGAAAAAAAGCAGCTTATTTTAACTTCAAACTTCAAGATAGTGACTCAAAGCAAATGTGGCGGATGTTAAAACAAAATAAAATTATTCCTGGAAAAATTTTAATATTCCAGAGAACTTAGGCTACGTTAATCAATTAAACGATTTCTTTAATTATTTAATACCTGGTAGTTTACCACCTCAACGTTTACTAGACCAGTATAAAAATGCTTTTTATCCAATGAAAAACTTCAGTTATCAGAAATTAATGCTCTTTTTTTTATAAAACTATTTCTTATATTAAATCAAATGCTATATGATGTGATAATTTAAGTATAAATCTTAATTAAATGTATTGCCCTCATATTATTGAAAATATTACTCAAATTGTTAATTATTGTTTATCAAATAATGCTTTTCCAACCTCATGGGGTAGTGCCGTTGTGAAAGTGTTGCCAAAAAAGTCAAATCCAGTTGAGTATAAAGATCTACGTCCTATAAATATTTTACTAGTTTTATCCAAGGTTTTTGAGCGTGCTGTTGAAGTTTAGCTAACAGTTAAAAATATTACCTGATGTTCAATCTGCATTTACAACGGCATTACTTCATGTGGTGGATAATATAACTGGAGCGACTGATTTGGGTCAGTGTACAGCTTTAGTTTTGTTAGGTTTTAGTTGGGACTTTGATACTATAATCAATAGTTTTCTCTTTTTTTCGTTTTCTCTTTCTTTCTTTCCTTTTAATACCACTTTCCTTTCTTCTTCCGTTGATATGTTACCAACTTTTTAATTTGAACATTAAGTACATCTAAAAATTATTTTCCGACGCTAATGCTAGACTC